AGTAAATATATTTTCTCTTCCTTATGATTTTCTTAATAAAATTTTCTTTACTTACTGTAATTGTAAGCATATAGTATATAATATATACATGTTAATTGTTATCAGTAAGGCTTCCAGTCAACAGAAGATTATTAGTAGTTAAATTTTGGGGGTGTCCTAAGTTATACATAGATTTGCAGCTTCACAGGGAGTCAGTGCCCTTAAGCCCCATGTTGTTTCAGGATCAACTGTAGATTAATGGTTGCCTGGGGCTGGGAGAGGGGAGAATGATGAGTTTCTTCTAATGAGTATGAGTTTCCTTTTGGAGATAAAATTTAAAAATTCTAAAATTGATTGTGGTTATGGGTGCAAAACTCTATGACTATAACTAAAAACCATTAAACTAAACCACTGATCATTTTTTAAAAAATAAGAAAATGATAAACTTCATCAAAAATGAGCCAAAGGGCTAGGTACAGTGGCTCACACCTGTAATACCAGCACTTTGGGAGGCTGAGGCAGGTGGAGGCCAGGAGTTTAAGACCTGCCTGATAAAAAAAAAAATACAAAAATATGAGCTGGGCATGGTGGGGCCTGCCTGTAATCCCAGCTACGTGGGCGGCTGAGGAAGGAGAACTGCTTGAACTCGGGAGGTGGAGGATGAAGTGAGCCGAGATCATGCCATTGCACTCCAGCCTGAGCAACAAGGGTAAAACTCTGTCTCAAAAAAGAACAACAAAAAAAAGCCAAAGATCTTAACGGGCACCTCACCATAGAAGACACACAGATAACAAATAAGCATATGAAAAGAAGCTCAACATCATACCTCATCAGGGAAATGCAAATTAAAACAAGACACCACTGTACACCTATTAGAATGGCCAAAACCCAGAACACTGACAACGTCCAAATGCTGATGCAGATGTGGAGCAACAGAAACGCTCCCTCTTTGCTGGCTAGAATGCAAAATGGTTCAGCCACTTTGGAAGACAGTTTGGCAGTTTCTTAAAAAACTCAACATACTCTTAACATACAATCCAGCACTTACACTCCTTGGTATTTACCCAAGTGAGTTTAAAAAAAAAAAACTATGTCCACACAAAACCTGCACACAGGTGTTGATTTATTTATACTTGCCAAAATTCAGACACAACCAAATGTCTTTTTGTAGATGAAAGGATAAATAAATAGGTATATCCAAACAGTGGAATATTTTTCAGGACTAGAAGAAAATGAATTAACAAACCATGAAAAGACATGGAGGAAAGTTAAGTGCATGTTACTACATGAAAGAAGCCAATCTGAATGGCTATAGGCTGTGTAATTCCAACTACATGACATTTTGGAAAAGACAAAACTATGGAAACAGTAAAAAGATCATTGATGATTGTCGGGGAGGGAGGGACAATACAGATCATGGAAGATTTTTTTAGAGCAGTGAAACTGCTCTGTATGACACTATAATGGTGGATGTCATCATACATTTCTTCAAACCCATAGAATGTAGCATACCAGGAGTGAACCCTAATGTAAACTCTGGACTTTGTGTCATAGTGATGTGTCATCAATGTAGGTTCATCAATTGTAAGAAATGTACCACTCTGGTGGAAGATGTTGATAGTAGGAAAGGCTATATGTGTGCATGGCTAGAAGATATGTGGGAACTCTGTAACCATTCCAGTCTCTCTCTCTCTTTTTTTTTTTAATGTAGAATCTTACTCGGTCACTCAAGCTGAAGTGTGGGGGCTCAATCACACCTCACTGCAGCCTTGACTTCCCAATTCAAGTGATCCTCCCACCTCAGCCTCCCAAGTAGCTGGGATTACAGGCACATGCCACCATGCCTGGATGATTTTTTTTTTTTTTTTTTTAGTAGAGACGGGGTCTTGCTATGCTGCCTAGGCTGGTCTCATATTCCTAGGCTCCAGCGATCCACCTGCCTCAGCCTCCCAAAGTGCTGAGATTACAGGCATGAACCACTGTGCCTGGCCTCCACTCATTTTTGCTATGAATCTAAACTGCTCTAAAATATAGTCTATTTATGAAAGTTAACTAAATAAAAGAGAAAAAGTCGATGGATATAGCCCCTGCCCTAATGTAATATACTTACTAGTATGTATTATTCTTGAAAAGAAAAAAAATCCATAAATACTTTTAAAACATTTTAAAAAGTTGATCCTAAAACCCATTGTACTGGCTGAGGGCAAACCAGACAAGCAGTCTCCTTACAAAACAGTGCCCAATACACCCTGTTCCTGCCCAGATGCACCACAAGGGGCCCTTACAGTGCAGTACTCTTCATCTAGTTAACTGAGAGTAGGGATGGCTTTGAGAGCATCCAACTACATAGAGTAAAAAAGGGTCTTTGCGCTGGAGGCTCTTAAGAGAAGTCAGGCACAAATCCATTGTTTTATAAATGAAAATACTGGAGCTCAGAAAAATTAAAGATAGAGTAACTTCGGTGGTAGAATGTGTTTTTGATGCATTATCTCACAAAAAGAAGTTGGTGACATTAATGTCCCTGACTTAGAGAGGAAGGAAATGAGAGGCTAAGAAATTTGTTCAAGTTCCTACAGCTATTTAAGTGACAGAATCAACTCTAGCTTTAGAGCATATGGTCTATACCCTATGCTAGAGTTTTCCTTCAGCGCTTCTTTTCATAAAATGGATATACTTGGTGATTGCATTATTACTTGATCATTTGTTTTGAATTTTACCCCTACTCAGAAAAGTTCATTTTTTTCCTTGTTTGTTTTCTAGGCTTCCTTTTCAGAACAAATCATTCCACTTTATAGTGCTGTAACAGTCCTCTTATTAGAGAAACTATTTTTTTTCTATCACAGCATTCTAAAGCTTCAATGCCAACAGCCACTCCAATCTCCCCTTTATACATGTCCCAAATGTATAACCTAAAAGGACTTATGTGAAAATCTGATGTTTCATTCTTTTGTTTATTTACTACTTCATTCAACAACAATTCAATAGTATTGGGCATTGACTATTAGATAGGCTTTGGACGTGCAATGAGTGTAACAGACATGATCCTTGCAGCCATGGAGCAGATAGTATAAGGGAGGAAGGTAGACATTAAATGAGCATGATCAATGCTTAGAATTTTAAGCCATATTAAGCGCTATGAGGAAAATAAATGAAAAACCATGAGAGACTACAAGAGAGGACTGGATTTTGATTAGGGGACCAAGAAAGGCCTCTTTGAAAAGGGTGGGGCACACGCAGCATTTCAGGAAAATGAATTGCATATGCGAAAGATCTGAGACAAGAAGGTGTTTACATGGTTAAGAACCAAAAACAACTTATGTGGCTAGAGTGTAGTAAGTAAGGAGCATGGTAGGAGATGAGCTTGGAGATTTAAACTTAAATCTGATCAGGAAGGTGCTTGCAGTCCATATAAGGACTTCTTATATGGGAGGAGGGAAATGGGCTTCTCTTTCTCTGATCCCACAAGAAAGTTTTCAGAACATTTTTCACAAAAATAAATTCTCTTCAGAGGAACCAGGTGGGTATCTAAACTTCCTTTGAAGTAGGCTTTTTCCTTTGCCACAGGACTGTCAAAAGTCTTAGCCTTTTAGTCACTAACCATACAAGGATGTTTTATAACATCCTTAACAAGGCTTAAATTATGTTTCAAAGAGGGAGGGGCAGGAAAAGAGGAAGGGATGACAAGTAGCAATTCAGTTGCAGTAATCCATTTGAGAGAGACTAAGGACTTGGAGAAATAGGAACAGACTTGAGAAATATTTTGATAGTGGAATCAGCAGTACTTGGTAGTGGGCTGGCTGTTATAAGCAAAGGAGAAGGCATTTGAAAAGATCACTCCTAGATTTGTGGCTTTAGCAAACGAACAGATGGTAGTAACATATATTTAGATAAGTAAATGGGAGGAGTAAGATCAAGAGTTCAGATAAGTTAAATTTGAGTTGCCTCAGATATGTGAGTAGGCAGTTGGCTACACAAGTCTGGAGCTCAGAAAAAAAGGCCTGGAATGAAGATTAAAATGTGGGCGTTAACAGCATTTTGGCGATATTTAAAGCCACAGGACTGGGCCGGGTGCAGTGACTCACTCCTGTAATCCCAACACTTTGGGAAGCAGAGGTAGATAGATTATTTGAGGTCAGAAGTTCAAGACCAGCCTGGCCAACATAGAAAAACTCTGTCTCTACTAAAAATACAAGCTGGGCATGGTGGCTCGTGCCTGTAATCCCAGCTATTCAGGAGGCTGAGACAGGAGAATTGTTTGAACTCAGGAGGTAGAGGTTACAGTGAGCCGAGATCACACCACTGCACTCCAGCCTAGGCAACACAGTGAGACTCTGTCTCAAAAAATAAAATAACATAAAATGAAATGAAATGAAATAAAAATAAAGCTACAGGACTGGATGAGATTACTTGAGGGAAACTGTAGAGAGGAGAAAGAAACTGCCAAATGTCTCTAATATGTAGAGGCAGTGGAGAGGAGTTAGCTGTGAGACTTAGATTAGCCTGGACATAAGAGAACAGAGAGGACAGCGTGGTGACAAAAAGACCAAGGGCAGAGTGTTTCATTAATGGTGCAAGCAGCTATGCCCAATGCTTCTGAGAGGTTAAGTTGAGGTTGGGAACGTTTCTACTGTATTTGGTATTGTTGCAGTAGTGTGCTGAAACTGATTCCCATCAGTGCAGCGAATCTATGTGGTTATCTTTTCCCAATTCTGTATTTAGTGATGACACATTGGTAGCCATGGTGGGAGTATTTACACTATGGAAGTTAGCAACCATTTCTATGGTTTGTTTTTTTTGGGAGAGCTGGTTGTAAATATGTACCAACATGCCACTGGCAATATGACTCCCATTTGTAATAAAGTGAAGGGGGAAATGACCTTCTCGGCTCTCTGGTCTCATCAGAAAGTTTTTATGAAAATAAATTCTCTTCAGAAGAACCAGCTGGGTGTCTGAACTTCTTTGAAGTGGGCTTCTACCTTTGCCACAGGACTCTCTAAAGTCTTAGACTTTTAGTCACTAACCTTCACAAATTTGATGCAGAACAACAGGAAAAAAAAAAAAAAGGTGGTCATATGAAGAATTACTTCCAACTCTGAGATGCTATAATTCTGTGTTGGTTGCAAGGAATTCCAGGAAGCACAGCAGTAAACCACATTTCATTTACTCCTAGGCTTATTTACTTGGTAAAAATAATCATTAGAAAATTCCGGAATCCAAGGGCTAAGAAATGACATTTTCCTCATCTTTTTTATTTTTGAAAAATGTTTACTAGTCTATAAAAATGTAGATAAGAAAATTAACTGAGGCTGGGCACAGTGGCTCATACCTATAATCCCAGCACTTTGGGAGGCCAAGGCAGGCAGATTACTTGAGCCCAGGAGTTCGAGACCAGCCTTGCCATCATGGCAAAACCCTGTCTTTACTGAAAATACAAAAATTAGCTGGGTGTGGTGGTACATGCCTGTAATCTCAGCTACTCAGGAGGCTGAGGCAGGAGAATCACTTGAACTCAAGATCATGCCCTCAAGCCTGGGCAACAGAGTAAGACTATGTCCTTAAAAAAAAAATTACCGTAATTGAAAGGTGGAAAGTTTTATATTTTCAATACTATGACAACTGAATTAGATCATTTAATAGTCAAGCGAATTCCTCACTAGGTAATCAGGTGTTAAGGAAAAATCATTAAAATAATTGTGCTTTTGACATTATTTTAGTTGCGGCATATAGTCACAGTCTAAATCCTGTTCTCATCCAAAGGTGAACTACAGATTGAACTGAATTTCTTGCAAAGTCTTCAATTTATGAAGAAGTCGGCATGCAAACCTAGTCTATACGGCTCCAAAAGTTTGTTCTTAGCTATGATAAAGTTACTACAAACACTTAGCAATGATAAAGTTTATCAAGCTTAAAATTAAGTAAACACATCTGTGGACCAGATTTGAAACAGAAATACAAAGCTGTGAGATGAGCAGAAGCCACTTGCTTTGGGGCTCTGAATCTGAATCAGGCAATATTAGCTATACTTTGGCTCTTCCTGAGTAAATTAAAATAAAAGAGTTCCATGCCGAGATGGGAGGCTGAAAGCCAGACTCACTGCTTGAAGCCGGAGGCAAGGCAGGCTTCTCCTACTCCAGAAAGGAAGCAGAAATGGAAGCTATTTCTGCCGGAAGCTACAGCTTTTAGCAAACTTCGGATGTAGGCAAGAGGGAGGACACAGATACAACCTTGTGACTAGGAAAGAAGGCAGTTCGTTTGGTGCCTAAATCTGTGTTGTCCTGAATATGACTGTGGGCTGGATCTTGGAATCACCGTTAGTAAGTCGGGTCTGAACTGGAACCTCAGGGAGCAAGTACAAAATGAAGGGAATCGCAAAGCCACTGGACAGGGCGGAGAAAGCACAGTGGGAGTGGAGAAAAGAAGAGAAAGAGAGAGACAGAGAATGCAAGCCTAGTCTCAAAATGAGCTCATCACCCAAAATCCAATGCTTTGAAAGCCAAAACAAACAAAAGAACATAAATTTACTCCTGTTGAAATTAATTTTCTAGAACAATCCGAAAAAAAGGTTTAAATATGCCTACAATGTGCAAAAAGACATATGCAGGAAAAATTTTTTTTTCTTTTTTATTGAAACAGAGTCTCTGTCACTAGGCTGGAGTGCAGTGGCACCATCTTGGCTCACTGCAACCTCCGCCTCCTGAGTTCAAGTGATTCTCCTGCCTCAGCCTCCTGAGTAGCTGGCACTACAGGCACACGCCACCACACCCAGCTAATTTTTTGTTTGTTTGTTTGTTTTGTATTTTTAGTAGAGAAGGGGTTTCATCGTGTTGGCCAGGATAGTCTCTATCTCTTGACCTTGTGATCAGCCCACCTCGGCCTCCCAAAGTGTTGGAATTACAGGCATGAGCCACCGCACCCAGCCAACTTACATTTTTTTTAAAAGAGCAAGACCTTACGAAAAAAAAGCCAACATAAATGAAATCAGAATGGATGTATAGTAAAAAGAACAATTAGAAATATTGGAAATGAGCCGGGCGCGGTGGCTCAAGCCTGTAATCCCAGCACTTTGGGAGGCTGAGGCGGGTGGATCACGAGGTCAAGAGATCAAGACCATCCTGGTCAACATGGTGAAACCCCGTCTCTACTCAAAATACAAAAAATTAGCTGGGCATGGTGGCATGTGCCTGTAATCCTAGATACTCAGGAGGCTGAGGCAGGAGAATTGCCTGAACCCAGGAGGCGGAGGCTGCGGTGAGCCGAGATCACGCCATTGCACTCCAGCCTGGGTAACAAGAGCGAAACTCCGTCTCAAAAAAAAAAAAGAAATATTGGAAATGAAAAATAATATAGTCATTAAAATAAAAATATAATAGATGAGATAAGCTGTAGGCTGGCAATAGTTAAAGAGAAAGTTACTGGTTTGAAGATGATGCTGAGGATTTTTGCCTAAGAAACAGGACAGAGAGACAAAGAGGTAAAAAATGTGAGACAGCTGTTAAGAGAGAGGGAGGATCAATTGATAGGCTAATATCAGTATCAAATCAGGGAAAAAAGGAATATTTAAGAGTTTAGATGTTCTTAGAGTATGGAATAGTTATGTATGCAAGTTAACATATAAGGACAACTGCTAAAGAAGATACCATGTCTAGCTCCTAAAGTAACAGCAGAAGAAAAAGGGAATATAGAAAATATTTTCAACACAAGAGAAGGAAGGAAAAGGGAAAAAATAAGCAAAGAATGATAAACATAAAATGAAAAAAAGTTAAAAATAAGTTGAAACATTATCATTAGCCTCAGCAACCATAAACCTGTTAAAAATTGACTATAAAACAGAAGTTTTAAGAATGGATTTTTTTTTTAAACCGTCTCACTCAGTCGCCCAGGCTGGAGTGCGTCGATGTGATCTCTGCTCGCTGCAACCTCTGCCTCCTGAATTCAAACGATTCTCCTGCCTCAACCTCTTAAGTAGCTGGGATTACAGGCACCCACAACCATGCCTGGCTAATTTTGGTATTTTTAGTAGAGATGGGGTTTCATTCTGTTGGTCAGGTTGGTCTCGAACTCCTGACCTCAAGTGATCTGCCCACCTGGGCCTCCGAAAGTAAGAATGATTTTTTTAAAAAAATCCCAAATCAGGCCAGGCAAGGTGGCTCATGTCCATAATCCCAGCACTTTGGGAGGCCAAGGTAGGTGGATCACCTGAGGTCAGGAGTTCAAGACCAGAGACCAGCCTAGCTAACACAGTGAAACACGTCTCTACTAAAAATACAAAAATCAGCCAGGGGTGGTGGTGCATGCCTGTGGTCCCAGCTACTCGGGAGGCTGAAGGCAGGAGAACTGCATGAACCCAGGAGGCGGAGATTATAGTGAGCCAAGATTGTTCTTCTAGAAACTTTTTTTTTTTGGTATATATTTTTAAAATAGAGACAGGGTCTCCCTGTGTTTCCCAGGCTGATCTTGAACTCCTGGGCTCAAGCAGTCCTCCCACCTCAGCCTTCCGAATTTCTGGGATTACAGGTATGAGCCACCACACCCGGCCTATCAAAGAAACTTTCTAATCATGTTTATGAACTTCATTATAGGTAACTTACTGGGAAATTGAGGAGTTGTTAGGTACCTAAAATAGCACATTTGCTGGAAGTAGGATTAAGAATGTGTCTGCTGTTTCTTTAAAACCTCTAGAAGGTAGGCTCTTGAATGTGTATAATGCCATTCTGCCTTTGTGGATGAGGCAATCAAAGCAAAGGTATTAGTGTTGTGCCTAGGTCTCTGAAAGTGTTTTGATTTACTTTTTCTTCTTCTTTGAGCACCCAGATTATACTTTAACAAGATTGAGCTTCTGTGGAAACCTAGCCTGTGGCAAAATTTCTGCTGCCCACACCCTGTGTGAGACCACAGTGAGTATTTAAGGGGCTCTGGCAGCAGGACCTGGTAAATTAATGATCGCTGCAAACTTAAAAGGCCCAACCCTGGAATTCTCTCTCTTGAAGAGCCACACTGCCTGCCTGCCTGTGCTCCAACCATTAGCTCACAGTGCCCAAAATATGGAGGGGAAAAAAAAAAAAAAAAAGGAAGCCAGGAGGGAGTTGTCTTTGTGGGACAAGAATTTCAGCTAGCACTAGGTAATCATAATTTTCCAACCATTTTGACATGCATTATATAAAGGAACCAATTCCCAGATAAAACAAAAAACAAAGTGCTTTTGACTCTAGAAGTGCAAACTGAGGATAAATTAGAGCTGACTTTTCTTTTTAACTTTTTATTTATACAGAATGTTGGATTTGTTTAACTAATTTCTATTTCCACGAAGCCACAAATCTAGTGTGTTATTTCCTTTACTATCTATTCATTTTTATTTCTGCTAATTTTCATATGTTTAAAATGTTTTCAGTAGGCTGAAAATACTTACAAATCATATGCACATATGCATATGTACAATACATTCACTTTCATAGGACCAATCAAATCTGGCATTCTTTGTAGCTCACAGTGGTTCACAGTTTCAAGGCTTTTCACCCTGTTTTGAACTGCAACTTAACATTCACAAAATAGGTTGTTCAAAGTTAAAGGTTCTGCTTACAGGCACTTGCCTTTGACTGGATACATCTAGATTAAGTCCTGAGTAAAATGTAGGAAATAACTTTTGTCTCATCTCCATTTATATCAGGACTAATGAAGAAAATGCACTTAGTAGGTGCCAATGCTGCCCAGTGTAGAAATAACATAGGTGATATGAATGTGGTGATTTTTTTTTTTTTTTTTTTTTTTTTTTTTGAGACAGTGTCTTGCTCTGTCATCAGGCTGGAGTGCAGTTGCGATCTTGGCTCACTGCAACCTCGGCCTTCTGGGTTCGAGTGTTTCTCCTGCCTCAGCCTCCTGAGCAGCTGGGATTACAGGCGTGTGGCACCACACCCAGCTAATTTTTGTATTTTTACTAGAGACAGGGTTTTCCCATGTTGGCCAGGCTGGTCTCAAACTCCTGGCCTCAGGTGATCTGCCTGCCTCAGCCTCCCAAAGTGCAGGCGTGAGCCACCGCGCCTGGCCCACTGATTTATTTTCTATTACTATAGTTCTGTCTTTTCCAGAATGTTATATAAATAGAATCCAACAATACGAGTCTTCG